TACTGTCTTCGCAGGCTCTCAAGTTCTCATATTTTTGTGTTACTATATTTAAATTTTACTAGTTTTAAGGATTAAGAATAAATATATTGATTATGTATAAAAGATAAAATTCATTCGCTAAGTTCATGGTTTCATGTTGTTGAATACTATTAACCGCAAACCAAACAGGTTTAAAAGTAAAAAGAGGAGATAAAAAATTAAAAAATAAAAAACTAAGAAAAAATCAAAAATGAGACTGGCTCATATTACGGGGGACCAGTACTTTACTTGTTTAAAGAGATAATTTGTGTAAACGCGAATGAATTTTATCTTTTATACATAATCAATATATTTATTCTTAATCCTTAAAACTAGTAAAATTTAAATATAGTAACACAAAAATATGAGAACTTGAGAGCCTGCGAAGACAGTACGCGTACTTTTTAAACCTATCTTACTAACTACAACTTCGGAAAGAAGTATAAAAATCCTCAGGTTACCCCTGAACCCGTCTTTTTTTTTTCCTTTTTCTCCTTCTTATTCTACCTCCTACAAAACTTCCACCCTTACATCCTTCAACAAATATACCTTCAATCCAAACACCTATTCCCTAAAATCCTCACGCATAATAAATAATACACAACTTATTAAATAGATCATCCAAATTATCAGAAACAAACAGTGACATAACATATGAGAATCACAACCTGGAATACCAGAAGCCTAGGAACGAGACAAGGCGGCATCGAAGCAACAAAGAAAAGATTCATAAACAATGCCAGTAATGACCAAGATCTCATCATTCTAACAGAAACCAGACACCTCGAACGAGAACCATTCAAGATTAAATGGACTAAAGGCAGAGAAACCATACTACAAACTCCAGCAAGAAAACCAAATCAATCTATAGAAGACGCAATAACTGACGGAAGGAAAGAAGAACCACATGTTCCAAATCCCAACACAATACAACGACACCCCCTGCCACTTAATGGAGAAAGGGGTAGAGGAGGGGGGGGAATAGTGGTCCTTGGAAAGAAAAAAGAAATGATAGTGTTAAACAGCTCTGGAATCTGCCGGGGACATGGCATTATTGCTCACATCCAACAGCACAAGACTATGAAGTTCTTCCTAATTGCTATCTATGCTCCAGTTGGACTTAACCAACAAAGAGCATTCTGGCAAACAACTGAACAAGAAATGGCGATCTTCATCAATCAAAATGATCCAAACCACGAAACAGAAAGCATATTTATGACAGGCGACTTCAACCTTGACCCATCTGACATAGAAGACAATGTTATCTCACAATGTTTACAGAACATTATTCAAACGTGGGATCTTAGCAAACACAAAATTAGTTAGAAAAAGAATATAGCTAAAAGAAAGAACATGTATAACGTAGAGTTAGAGTGTACATTGAGTAAATATCAGGAACAAATTCTACAGTTAAATCACAAGAGAATTTAGTTAATAGATCTCAAGAAAAAAAAAATAACCAAAAAACCTGTCGCTTAAAGTTAAAGAATAAACAACTTTGTTTTTATTCACCAGGTGTTAATACTTCTTTTTTTCCCTTTTGAGTGTTTTTCCCCCTCTGTTTTTTTATGAATTTAAACCTTCTCTACTTAAAATTCTAGTTAGACCTTAATTCTTTATCAATTGGAAAGAAAATTAAAAAAGTAGAAAGCAATGAAAAAGAAAAAAAAGCGTTTACACAAATTATCTCTTTAAACAAGTAAAGTACTGGTCCCCCGTAATATGAGCCAGTCTCATTTTTGATTTTTTCTTAGTTTTTTATTTTTTAATTTTTTATCTCCTCTTTTTACTTTTAAACCTGTTTGGTTTGCGGTTAATAGTATTCAACAACATGAAACCATGAACTAAAACTAGTTTATAAAAAGTTGACTTTAAAGTTGACTTAAAGTAGGATAAAAGTCGACTTTTGATTAATAGTCCACAAACTTGGAACAATAAGTTATGAAAAAGTTGATTTGTTCATTTCAGTTTTGAACTATATAAAAACTTGGAACAAAAAGTTGTAAAAAAGTTAAGTTTTTCATCCCAGTTTTGATTTAGTAAAAAACATGGGGAAAAAAGGTATAAAAAAGTCTACTTTTTATCCCAGTTTTGAACTAATCAAAAACTTGAAAAAAAGTCGTTTTTTTACGACTTTTTCATCCCAGATTTGAACTAGTCCACATTCTTGAAACAAAAAGTTGTTAAAAGGTTTACTTTTTCATCCCACTTTTGAGCTGGTCAAAAAAAAAGTCATAAAAAGTCGCAAAAAGTCAACTTTTTCATCCCAGTTTTAAACCAGTCAAAAATTGTGAAAATTGTTGAAAAAAAAGTTTAAAATAACTATTCTGAACTATTCATAAACAAAAGATTTATTTAAAAAGTCGACCTTTACTCAATTTCTATTGACAAGTTGCTGTCTACCGGGTGTCTGTCTGCACATTTTATTCAAAATTTTTATTTTTAGCCCTGTGACAGCTAAAATATCTAAGTTTTTCATTTTTTTTTTGATGGAATCAATTTGTAAGAAAAAGCAATAATTAGAAAATCTTGAAAAAAATGGACGTTTTCTGTTTACTCAATGTCAGTAAATTGTGAATTTTTACTAAAGTAGAAGTTTCGTTTTCAAGTTTTTGTAGTAGGTATAAAGAGTGAAGTGTTTTTGTGGTTTATAACTGAAGATTGATTGATGAATAAATGTTGATATGGACAGTGAATATGTATGTATAAATTTTGATATGAACTGCGAACATGTATGAGTGTGCCATTTTAAATGTATGCATAAAAGTGGTAAAAGGCTGGAGTGTAAAAGTGGTAAAAAAGTCGACTTAAAAAGTTGTCTAAACCTTAACTTAAAAATAAGGCTTAAACTCAACTTAAAAAGTAGACAAAAAGTCGACTCAAAATCAACTTTAAAACTTGAGTTTTTTGTCAAGTTGAAAATTCTCGTCAAAAACAATTGCTGACTCATTCAGTAGCGCTAAAAATCCTGTTTTTATGAAATTGCCAATAGAGAGCAAAATTGACACAACAGGATTTTTTACATGCCTTTAAAACTATGGAGATATTTTTCAGGAGTACAAAACAATGAGTAAGCCTGATGCCGCAAATCCATCTAGGGTTGAAGGCAAAGTTGATGCTGTAGGTATAAAATGCCCCAGTTTTATAAAATAAAAATATATAGTGTCAAGTTCTAAGGTAGTGAGATTCATGAAAAAAAAAAAAAGTGAGATTTGAAAATCCAAAATGAGAATACAAAATTTTAACTTTTATTTTCAAACTGTGGTATTGGCGGTAGTTAGATTTCAAAATCCAAAATGAGAATATAAAATTTAAACTTTTATTTTCAAACTGTGGTATTGGCGGTAGTGAGATTTCAAAATCCAAAATGATTTTTATATTCTCATTTTGGATTTTGAAATCTCACTACCGCCAATACCAGAGTTTGAAAATAAAAGTTGAAATTTTATATTCTCATTTTGGAATTTCAAATCTCACTACTGGAACAACTTCTAGTTTGAAAGTATTTACATTTTCTAATTTCGAAAAAAAGGCATTTAATAATCGGAAAAGTGTAAAGAAAATGTACAAAAACTAGCTTTTAAAACCTTCAATACCATTTTTTTTTTTTTTAAAAACATAAAATTTTCGCTCAAAAAGAAGGCATTTTATACAAACACAAGTTAATGAGGGTTGTCTTCTTTTCCTCGAATTATTATCCTTTACATGAAAATAATAAAAAATTAGTTTCTAAATAAAATAAACATAACCCACCTGTATGGTGCAAAGTGTTTTTAAGGCATTTAGAAAAGTACTTTACTTTACTAAACAAGAACTGCTAGCTGTACCATAAACTCCTTTCAATTGACATATTGTATCAACAATTTTTTTAGAGACCTAAACAAGTGGAGGTTTTCAAAATTTCAAAACAAGTTTAAACATTCGATATGTAGAAACAAGTTTTCATTCAGATATATTTATCTGAAAAAAGAGGCTCCTTACTTGTCCCTCCCGCAGAAAGAGGATTTAAAAATAATTTGTTTAATATGTTTATTTTTGTATTCTATTAGAAATAATAAATCCCTAATGTATTAAGAACCTGAGAGAAACATCAAGGAAAAATATAAAAATAAATATAAACAAAATAAAAACTTCAAGAAACAGGAAAATCGGGTAGTAATATTTTCTTTTGAATGTAAATAAAGTAAATAATGGTAAATAATGGTAAATAATGGTGAATAATTAACGATTATATTTACTTCTCTTTAATTAAAACTTTAGCCTCTTTCAAAGTGTTCAGTCTGAAGCCACAAACTCTATCACAATAACTTTGCAATTAAATATTGTAGAACTTGTCTGAAACCATGGGTAGGGTTTTAGGGGCAACATCGGGAATTTTAAGTAATTCATATTACTTTTCGTGTTAAAGTTTAATAGAAATTTCTGTTCTGTATCAATTACAGCTGTTTGCCGATACTTTTTCAATTTTCACATAATAGAATATATTGGAAAAACAAACTTGTTTAACAATAACAACTCTTTTACATTTTATCTTTCCTTTTTTTTTTTTTTTTTTTTTNTTTCCTTTTTTTTTTTTTTTTCTTCACACTTTGTTGAATTTGTTCCAAACTGTTTAAATGTCTTAATAAAACTGTATTATGTCAAATTAGGAAAATATTAGATTCAATGCTTTCTCTTTCAGACATTTATTCAAGTTTAACTTGTTTCTGAATTAGGTAGTAGCTCAAAGCTTAACAAATAAAACCAAGCTTGTTTCAATTAAAAGCTTGCTAATGATATGATGCATCGATAAAGTTACAGCATAAACTCTAGATTTTTGGAAACAAAGAAAGAATAACCACATGGAGCTCTTAATAACTGTTCCAAACTATTTCAGGGCAATTCATTTATTGCTACAATTACTGAGAATACATGGTGTCCCAAAAACATGAAAATTCATTGACAACTTTTATATCTTCTTCCATCCATGCAACATTTTCTCATAAATACAATGAATGCAGTATTCTAGTTTAAACATCTAATATTGACAACGTCTGGTCTTGAGACTTTCAAAGTTTGGTCAACCATTTTTGTATCTTCAAAATTGACAGAGATAATGCACAAAATGTAAAAATGAAAAGCTTGTCAAACATAATGCCTCTTTTTTATTTTCTTTGCCCCACATTAAATATCAGAAATCAAATACGACTTTCAATTCGTCCTTCAATTCCCATGTTTAATGGGACACCTTGTACAACATTGTAAACCCCATTGAAAAATTGTCTAGACGACATTTTATTATTTCTTTCTTCTCTCTATGCACATGCCCCCCTGTTCACACCCTGACTTGTTAGCATCTTGTGAAGGAGTCAGGATGTCCTAAAGATGCTTCTTGAGGACGCCCAAAGAACGACCTACTGAAGAGAATTGACAGCAACTGAGAAGAACCAGACAGATGTCCTAAACAATTCCTTAAAGGGAGTGTTCCCGAAAAATGATTGGGGGTATAGGCTTAATGCGATAAAAAAGCACTTTTGATTGCTACTAATCTTACTTCTATCTGTTGCATCTATAAGGAGAAAATTGTTAAAGACAGCTCATACCGAATAACATGGCCTCCATACAAATTGGGAAAATTGCAACATACAACTTAGACTGTAAAAAAATCAATGTAATTTCAAACAAATCATTCAGATATTGCAACCTATAGTCATCAATTATCTTTTGCCACATTTATATATAGTTGATTTTTCATAATATGTTTTATTTTTCATAATATGATTTATAGTTTCACATTCCTAAATTCATAAATTTAATATTAGTAGCAATTGATATCGAATTATATTCTATATCTGCCTATATCCCCTTTCATCTTTCGCAAACACTCCCTTTAAAGTGAATAAAAATATTTTCTATAACATTGAATTGAAGAAGAATATAAAAGTATAATTATAAAAATAAATAAATATCTGCTGCCTGTAAAATAATAAAATAAAATATATATGTGTATATATATCCATCCAGCTTGGTGATAAATATTTCATTTAATGTATTTATAACCCAACCAAGATGGGAAAAACCTAAACAATAAATTCTTTTATTTAATGTTTATGTATAGTTATATACCTTCTACACAAAATAAAATAGAATAATTTTTAATGTTATTAATATAAATTGTATACATTCGATAAAGTAGTATTTCAAACAGGAATTGAGACTTTCAAACAAACTTGCCTAATGTCTATATCACTGATGGTGTCCAACGTTGATATTTCTAACTTAGCTTCTTTTATTTAACAGAATTCATAGTTTGAAATATCAATGATATTATGTTTCAAAGATAAAGAGATAATAAATAAGAGTTTATTGCAAAGAGTGAACTTTCAGGGTTATTTCAATCAACTAAGATCTTTTTATTTTAAATCATACACTATTGGAGATACCTATGCCCCCGCCCTCAACTTTTAAGGGAAAACCCATATTTTCAAATTATTAATTGAATAATTTGTTGTTGTTAGTACTCAACAGCATGAAATATTGATCTATACTATAAGTTGTTATAAAGTTGAGAAAAGTTATTTTCTCTTTTAATCTGCACCCCTGATTTACTGTTGTGTGCGATCTAATTATAAGGATCTGGCAAATTAGTTCTTTCCAGAACATTACACTTAGCAATATTTTATTCTTCTAGAGGATCAGGGCTATTAGCACTGTTGACTGAATATCTCTTTTGACCCCCTAATCAAAGCATTACAAGCCTGATTTACAATGTTACAGATTAGCACTGTCTTTAAAAAATGTTACTTTTACATTTTCCATTCTTAATAAGTTATCAATAAACTTTAAACAAGAATATCTTTTTTAGATAGAAAAGTGTTATATGGGTACCATTACAAATCATATATTATATATGTAACTCTTCAAATTGAGGGTCAGTTCAAAGTTTATCAAAATTCCCTTGAAGATATGATTAAGATTGCTTATAAATGTACTGGAAGAGAGTGCTATGTACAGGGCTTAGTAAAAAATTGCAATGTGAACATCAAATAAAGCAGTATCTGAGTATCTGAGTCTTTCCTTCGTTTTAAAAACAAAAATGTCCAATTTGTCTACTTTACTTACTCTACTCGCCATTTATTTATTACTATCTGATTAGAAGTCTGGTACTATAACCTCTGCATGATTCATTGTGATCCCCTAGATTTATCTTATAAAAGGATTTTACAAAATTGAAATTCACACATCTATCTCTGGATAACAGCTTTAAGCAGGAATAACTTTTTTAGATTTGTCATTATTTTAATAAAGTTAGAAATTTCATTATTTTTTTGTTGCTTTTTAACCCTATCTCCGCTGGGGTACTTGAAAACCAGGATACGCTGGGGGGGGGTCAATTTGACCCCCCCCTCTAAATCCCATGTTTTATGTCCAAATATGACAAATGATACATCATTAGAAAGCTCTTGTGCTCTACTTTTAGAATCTGCAAAAAAATTTGCAAATTTGCGAAAATTGAATTTTTTATCGCAAAATCCAGTTTTATAGTAAAAATGTTTGCAAAAAAAAATTTGTCCAAAAAATGACAAATTATACATTTTTGAAAAGCCCTTGACCATGCCATTTCAAATATGCAAAAATTTTTGCAAAATTTTAAATAACCTGATTTTTAATCAAGAAAAACTAAAAATGTGCAAATTTCCTTAGACAGGTTTTTTGCAAAAAATTTGCAATTTTTTTTTCGCAAAACTTGTGCAATCCGTTTCCTTATGTCATAGGCTTTCCAAAAAGCTAAATTTTATCAAAATCTGACAAGTGAAAGTGGGTCAAAACAAAGATTTAGTTTGCTACAGGCAAAAGCAGTCATTCAGGCAGTGTGCCTGAGGACTCAGGCAGTTAGTATTAAAGCCCGGTTTTAGGCCTAAAGGGAGGGCTTTGGGTATGTAAGAAAAGTCAGAAAATTTCAACAGCCTCAGATCAATACTTTTTGAGTTATGTAAAAAAAACTACAGGGGGGGGTCAAATTGACCCCCCCCCAGCGGGAATAGGGTTAAAGGGATAAAAATGTTTTTAAAACAACAAGTTCTTTGAAATTTCAGAGTACAATATTTAAAGTATGGATTACACTGTTCAAAAAAGCGGAGTTGGTTGGGCTAAAATGATTTTTATTGATTTATCATAAAATGTTAAAAATTTTTAATTTTTAGCTTTTAGACTGAAAACATTAATCATGATGATGTTCAAAACTTTTTTATCAACAAACTTTATTGTAAAAGTTCTGAAAGTGCAAAATCAGGTGTTTAGTGTGAAGATATGAACTAGTAGTAAAAGTTTTTACTTTTAACATGTTCTAGGTAGAGAGGGAAATATAGAAGGTCATTCAAGAACTTTATAATTGCTTAATGGTTTAAGCAGAAAATGTGAAACATTTTGGATTCAGAAAAGTTAAATTTTATGTAAACATGGTTTTTGTTTCAAACTAAGAGACCAAAATTGGGTTTGGCTTAATATAGAAAAAAACATGTAATAAAAAGGTATCTAAAACACGTTAAACAATCTGCAATAATAGATCAACATTTAGTTTTGTGGGTATTTCAAAGTTTTACTTTGAAATAAGATAAAATATTATTCTAAACGTCGCTACATGTCCAACTTATTAGCATAGAAATCTTACATGTTTTCAATAATATATAACTCCTCTTGTTTAAGAGCTGCCAAGAAGAACAAAAATGATTTGAAATTTTTATTGTGTAACTGGTTAAATTCTGTACTTATACTTGTATGTAAAGTGAAAATTAAAGAACCTATGAGGTCACAAAGTTGTACAAGTAATTTCACATACCTTTGACCTTCTCCTTTTTTCTAGGTCAGTATTGGCTAAAGATACATTCCTTATTAGATGTTCCATAAGGCCAAGATAGGCTTTATTGTTTTTGTACATCACTATGCAATATGCATTTGTAAAAGGGTCATTATAAACCAAGTCATTACATTCAGAAGTTTTTTTATTTAATTGATAGAAAATGTTGCAAATAATTGAAATAGTAAGAATTTAAAAAGAAGTGTGTATTGGGTCAAGATGCATTTCTGGCTGTATATTACAAAGAATACTGAAGGAGATACAATATATAATTATTAGTTAAAAGTGCACAAAATTGCTTTACAAGTTGTTTGTTGCTGTATTGAATTTATCCTATCTTACAAACTGCGATGAATCAGCCAACCATTAGCAGCACTGTTTTTTTTTGTAAACACATTCTTTTAAAAGCTTGACATGCTTGAAATAGGATATTTCAACATTGACGAAACTAAATAAAGATACCAATCAAAGATGTTTGCATGTTTTAGAAAAGTATTGAATATTAAAATAAACTTTGACTAATTAGCTTTTTATTAACATTTTACAAGAAGAAATATTTAAAAATGTGGAACTAATTACTGTCCCAAGGTAATGTTTAAGTTACAAAAGCAATTTCAATCATCTTGTGAGCTTGTTCATCTCCATCAGATATTATTGTATATTTTTTATTTTCCTGGTAGATTTTCTTAAAAAATAAAATTCTTTGTTCTTTTATGTTTTCAAGGTGATTGAATTTCAAACTTTTCAGTTTTAAACTTGTAAAAAAATGCCTATTTCTGTCTTAGTTTCTCAAAGACATATGTAATATCAAAAATTAATTTTAGTTTGTAACAATCTATCGATTAAATTGTTTGCACATTTAGTTTTTAACAACAGATCGTTTTTAATGCATTAAAATATTAATAATTTTTGTTTAGGTCTACATCAGTGTTACTCCTCTACAAGTAAGATTTAAAATTAGTTCTTTTATTTTTTTTATTTTTTTTATTTTTAAAAGTTCAAAATGAATTTAGATTGTGAAGATCAGAATACTTTTAATGGTTCAGGTAAAAACAAAACTGAACAAAAATCTATAAAAGAAATTTTTTTACATGATTATTTAAATTTAGTCATTGCAGCCACCAACAATATTTAGAATACAGTAATAAATAAATAAAGAAAAATAACTAAAAATAATTAAAATCACCATTCTATTGTAGAATGGAAAAGAACAGAAACTAAAGGTTTAATTGCCATTTCAGAGAAAAATCTCAATTTACATCTAGCATTTTCTTGTGGAGCATTATTTGATTGTCATTTCTTTTTATTATTTAAATATTGTTATTTCAGCTAGATATTCATTGGAGAATCCCATTTTTTCATTAAAGACCATAAAAAAGGTTTTCGATCTTTATGAAAAATTTGGGTCTTTGTTGAAAAGCTTGGCTTTACCAATAATAATATCGGGATCTTCATTGAAAAGCTTGGCGTCACCAATATTAGAATGGGGATCTTTGTTGGAAAGTTTTAGGTCTGCAATTAAAATCTTATGGTAACCATGAAAAGCGTATGTTCTCGAATGAAATCTAGGAGGTCTCAGAAGAAAAACTAGAAGTCTCAAATGACATCTTTGGATCTAATAAAGATGGCTTGGGGTCTCCAATTAGATGTCTGTTTGGGTATTTGATGAAAGAGGGTCTACAGTAAGATGTCTGTAAGTGGTATATGTTGAAAGGAGGTCTCCATTAGTAATCCATACTGCTAAACTTCATATTTCAAAAAATACATCTTTTATTTACAATTAGAAAGCTGCTTAGTGCCCAAAGAGGAAAGAGTAGATCCAATTGGAAAACAATTTTCTAAGATACTGAGTCCAGAAAATAAATTCTTACTTGTTAAGAAAGGTATTTATCTCTTTCTTTATTTAATAAACTTAAATATTTCATTTAACTAAATTTTTGGTAAATCACAAAACATGTTGGTGATCTTTTTTTTAAACAATCTTTTATTTTTTTCCTCCATGTCTTTGGCTGTAAACCATTAATGATTTAATCTGTGTCTCCTAGATTGATAAAAATCCGTATATTTCAAAATATCACAGGTCACATTACACATTAGGTCAATACATTTGAGGTGTTGGGGAAGTATTTTTTGTTTTTTATTTACTTTGCTTTAAATAAATTGATGTAGAAAAAATGCATCATATATTTTATATGTAAATCAAAATTTTCAAATTTTTAGGAGAAGAAAAGAAGCAAAACAGATGTAAGTGCTATTTGTTATACATTCAGAATTAACAATTAATATATTTATAATTATTTGTTTTAACAGTTTTTCTTGAAGAATTATCAGAAGAAGACATAATTGTGAATGATTTATGGCAAAAAATCAAAACATTGCCTTGTAGAGAGGTAAAAAATTAAAAATGATTTTAAATGTCAATATGAATATTACTTCAAAATCTATTTTCCTTCACTCTTATTCTTATTATGCTAGGGTTGTGGAGTTTTTGATTCTGTTTGGAAATACTCTTTTGACAAAATGGTTCAGCTTTTTGTCAACCTAGAATCTTCTAAAACTGTGGAACATGATCTAGAAACATTTATGCAAATATGTAATGACATATTTGAAAACATTTATACATACAAAGATGAAAAGGAAGGCCTTTCAGTTAAAGGGAGTGTTTGTGAAATATGATAAAAGGGGTCTAGACTTATATTGAATTGAATTCAATATCAATAACTACTAATTTTACTTTTATCTGTTGCTTCTATAAGGAGGAAATGGAGAAAAACGTCTCATACCACAGAGCAACAGCAACAGATAAAAGTAAAGTTAGTAGCAATTGATATTGAATTCAATCTGACATCAGCCTACACCCCTTTCATTTTTCATAAACACTCCCTTTAAAATAACAATTGATCTATGTTATTTAAATAATAATGATAATAACAATTGAATATTTAGGTGAATGAACACCTTGTAAAGTCTGCACAAGTAAAAGCCTTATTTTTAAGGTGTCAATTTTTTCCATCCTATTTAAAAGTTTATTTTTGAAAATTTTTTAAGTCATTTATGAAAACATGGAAAAACAATTCTTCTCATTTATTTTAAATTTTAACACTCATTAAAAATTAATATAAAACTAATTGAATTTAAAGTAAAAATCAAAAAACTTTTAATCCATACAAAATTTTATAAATATTGTCTAATTTTGTCTAAATAGTCTAATAATATTAATATTTGTCTCATATTGTCTAATATTATCTAATATTGTCTAATATTGCAGGAATGACACCCAAGACGATCACATTGATCCAACTGAAATATTTCCAGCACTCAAAGACAACCAATGCCAAAAAAGGATCTTTATTTAGAAGTATGCTTTTCATCAAGCTGAGGCTTATCTTTTTATGTTTTAATGATAAATTTAAAAATAAACAAATTCATTCTCTGAAAGTCAGCTATTTTGTAAAGAAATGATTAACTTTCAAAGTATGTAAATTACATGGAATGTTATTCTTTAAAAAAATATATCAATAGTTATTCCTTGTTTTTGTCTAAAATTGAGAATTCATCCTGAACATAATGATTATAACTATTTACACACAATTGGCTAAAAATGCAAAAATTAACAGTGTAGTTTAAATTTCTTAAAAATTCTTTTGAATATTCAGTTTTACAAAAACACATTTAAAATTATGCATGACAACATTGATTATTACTTATTACATGCATATCTACAATATCAGTCATTTATTCAGGATCGGATCCTTCAACATGTAAATTGTTTGCTCTTGTGTATGTGCAATTTTTTCATGATAAATTCGAAGAGGAGGTTGCCATATTACTTAGTTGACACTCTGCTCTGGTTCGGTAATATTGTTTAAAAGACGGTAAAATAAAACATACCTATATTTAGGTGGGAACCAACAAGGAGAAATTCTTTGGGAGCAATTGCAAAAATACCCTTCAAGCGTTTCAGGTCCTTGCTTAGCAATAAATTGATTATTAACTATAATCAATCATTTTAAAGAACTTTATTTTACCTTTAGTTGTTTTAATAAGTTTTAGAAATCACTTCAATTTACAATGAGAATAATAAAAGTTTCTTTGAATAAATATTTTTTTTTCATAAATTTCTTTTTTAACAGAATTAGAGCAAAAAGTGGACTACTTTCGGTAAGCTCTGTTTAAAAACAAAAAAATGTCTATTTTCTTTTTTCTTTCTTTGCTTACTCTTTTTATGGAAATATTTATAAAATAAGTTTTTATATTTATTTTAGAGAAGATGAAAATTTACATGTTTTTCATAACACCTACCATACAAAACGAAGCCAGTATAGGATATATGAGCATTTTTACTACATGCACAGGATGTATATATTCAGGTTCCTTTAAATACCAGAAAATTATTTTTTCATAATTTTATGAAACATGCAACAAATTGTTAGAAAACTCATGCCACTTAATCTTATTTAAAAGCATACATTTGAGGAATTTATTTAAAAAAATTATGTGAGAGAATGTGAAAGACAAATATCTAAGAAAAAGTTTTTTTCTATTAATAATTATAAAAATAAAGACAAAGAAATTAGGGTTTCCAGTCGTAATTTCGTTACGCGTAATTACGCGTAACGAAACGTAACACTTTCTTTCACTTACGCAGGAGCATTACGCGTAATTACGCATATATTACGTTTACGAAAGAAAGTCTAGTTTCGCGTAATTAAGGCGTAATTACGCGAAATTACGTATAAAATTTCGCGAAATTACCTCGTAGAAATTACGCGAAATTAGGCCGTAATTACGCGTAGTAATAGTTTCGCTTTTTACGCGTAATTATTACGAAATTTTGCGAAATTACGTCGTAGAAATTACGCGAAATTACGCGAAATTACGCCGTAATTACGCGTAATTATAGTTTTCATTATTACGCATAATCATTACGAAATTTCGCGAAATTACGTTCTAGAAATTACGCGAAATTACGACGTAATTTCGCGAAATGGATATTTCCCCAATTACGCGTAATCCTGCGAAATTACACGAAATGAAAATTATTACGCGTAACTGCACGTAATTACGCGTAAGAGAATAATCTATTACGTTGGAAACCCTAAAAGAAATTGAGTCTTTGCAACAAACTCTGATTTTCTAATCCCTATCTATCCTAAAACCAATGTCCTAAACCTTAGATATTTCAAACTATGATTTCTTTTTGATCAAATAGTTTACACAATCAGGTTGCAAAGATATAGGAATTAGAAACTTTGAGTTTGTGGCAAAGACTCAATTCCTTTAGATAAGTTTTTTTTCATTTTTCATCATCTGTTCATCTAAAGTAATATTTAAAAAAAACCTTCAGTTTATATAGCAAAAGCAAATTTATTTAGCATGTTCAAAAGTTTTTTGAACAACAAGAATAAATAAAAAATGATTTCCAATAATTTTACATTATTTCTTAAGTTCAAAATTAAATAATTTACAATAATTATACAATATTTTTTTAATAATTTTGATTAGGTACTTCACAGAGAGAGATACTGAGGGGCTTCCAGCTGTCATACCTTTAGATAAATCTAGAAGAAATGAAGAGTTCAGGTAAGAAGCTTATTTTGTAAAAATGTTTTATCCAAAGAGCTTTAAGTCAATTTATAAGCAACAAAGACCATTTTTTCTTTTATGTTCAAATTGGTTATGGTTTACCAAAAGCTTTTAATATTCATATTTCTTTGAAATAGATATCATAATTTTATCTAATATTTTGAATATCAAAGACTGCAATCAATTCTGAATAGCATAATTATAAATATCCTTAGATAAGAATTTTTATCATTTTTTTTCATTTCCTTGATTAATACTTTTATTTGTATTCTTGTTTATTAGATCAGAGTATTTAATTTCTCTAGCTAATGATCCTTTTTCCAATTTAATGCGGCAATTTTCAAGGTAAAAGTAAATATTTGAAATCTTAAAATTTGCCACTAAATTGATTTTCACTTTTTGCATTTTAGTAACAAACCAAGATGTAGACTTTCTCCTGCTTCATGTAAGTGTACAATAAAACAAAAACACAAAAACATTGTTTTTCCCTACACTGTTCATATAACACCCTAGTTTCACCCGTCCATTAGGATTTTTATCCAATAAAACACAAGCGCGATTTTTTGACCAATAGCGATAGTGTGCTATCTATCTATCTTCAGCGGTAAATGGCGCCAGTGAATTTATCTATCTATCTTCTTGTATCTAACTATCTTTCTTGCTATCGCTGCAGTAAACATGATTTCG